CGGGCGCCGAGGGGGTTCGGCCGGGCCGTCCCGGGCGGCCGTTCCCGCCTGCGGCCGTCGCTGGGAGCTCACGCCCCGCGTTACCGTGTGGGGTAGCTCGTTCAGGTCCGTGAGCCCTGGATCTAAGCGAGCAGAGCTCGCCCCGGCTCCCTGCGAGGCAGAAATTTCCGAAGCCAGCGGGCATTTAGTGATGAGCAGGGGGAGAGAGCTGTAGTAACCCGAGGGGCTCGACGGAGCTAGTGCTCCGTACTGCGACGCTTTGCTTTGAGGAAAGTGGGTATTTATTTTGAATAACAGATCATAAGAGCACTCCGGCTTACGTTGTTAGTGCTTGAAGCACATATTTTCACTTCTCCAAAACTCGTCCTGTTCACTAACTCTTGGGGGGGGGGGGGAATCTATTAATTTCCACGTGCTTAAAAAAAACCCTGACAACGAACAATTTTATAACTTCTAGGCTGACATTCATTATAAGAATAATTTTACCTTGGTTACCAGTGGGTGAACTCTGCCATTTGAACCCCGTAGAGCAAAACTGATACGCTGTAGCTGAAGCAGGAGTTCAAGCACTGATGCGGAAAGCCAGGAATACGATCCTAACGGCTTTCTTCTCACTAGCATCTGTGGATCTTGAACACGTATTCAAGTCTGTTCATATATTGCAGCAGCACCTTTTGAAAAGTGCTCTTACTCGTAAATTTTTTCTAGCTGGCAGGTTAATGTTACCTCATAGAATTCCCAGCCTTGTGCTCCATGTGTGAATTTGCTAATGAACGCTGACTCTTGCCACTAACTTTTATACGTCCGTAGAAGATTATCGAACTGTGTTAGTTTTGACGTTAGGTGCTGATTCAGTATCTCCAACTTCCTTCTCTCCCATCTTCCATTAATACCAAAAGGGATTAAGATGTGCAAAATTGCATATTTTGCGTGGAAACAGAGAAATAAGAGATAGGAACAAATTCTTATAATCTTCTATGGATACAATTTAAGAAAAAAATAAACATTTGAAATAGAACAATACTTAACAGGGGCACTACCCAGGACAAATAAGTAACAAGAACAGTGTATTTGTCCAGACGGTGCAATATAGCAAAGCGTTTCTGGAGTTTTAACAAACTAATACATAATTGCATGTTAACAACCATTCTAATAAAAAATTGCAGCTTATCTTTCTTTCTAACAAAGGTTTAAGGGACTAAAATGGCAGGTCAGTACCCAATCTTACTGAAGGTTCCAACTGGAAATGCTACCTTTATTATGGAAAGTATTTTCAATTTCCTGGTGATTTGCAATATTCAGTACAAGGGCTTTCTTGAGATCCAAAATCAAAGCCACTGACAACTAAATAAATCGACCTACAGAAATTGATGTCCAAATAAAAATTTATTTAAGAAAAACATATTTGCAGTCTTTGCTTCTGAGTGTAGTCCGCGATCACTTCTCTCTGCAACCTTTTTGTTACAGAATGAGGTGCAGAAAATGCCTTGTTAGATTAGATGTGTCATGACTTCTCAGGCTAGGGCTAGGACAGACCCGTTGCTGTCACCGTTCGTGCTGCCAGCTGGATGTAATCTCACTGTCACCTTCCTCTTGTCAAACACTTCACTATAAAACAGGACAGCTTTGCTGTGAAGGACTACCAGTGATATTCCAGTAATTCCTCGTTTCCACAGTGGTGGGAGACAACCTGAAATTAATGCACTCAGACTTAAAATCCATTATAAAATCTGAGTAACACTCATGGGGGCAAATTTTGGAGCTCTGGCAGATCGGATTCATGGGCTTAAGGTAGAAGCGATCAAGGAGGGGAATCATTCCTCCCATGTGGGGAAGCCTGACTATGTGAGTTTGAAATGCTGTCATGAAGTGCTGGAATGGGCCACGCCAAGTGACTGCGTAGCAGTAGCCACCCTGTGTAAGGGTTGTTAAGGGACTGATACTGAAGTACATGCCATCCGAGGTGAACAGAGGGTTGTCATGATCCATGCGACTCTCATGGCATTACAGCAGAACGGGTCTGACCAAAGATCAGTATTTCCTGATATCCCGTTTCCAATGTTAGCCAATACCTTATGCTTAGGGAAGAGTGTAGGAAGAGGAGATGTGTTAAATATTTATCCAAGTTTATATAAATATTTCTGCAAATTTTTATATGCTCTCTGAATCTGCCTCCGAGTATTTCTCAGACCCCTCTGTTTTGTCACTTGGGCCCTTCCTTAGCCAGAGCTCATGTCGCTGTACAGCATGCTTGCTATGGCTTTATGTAAAATGAAAGGCCTGAGTAATTGTTCCCAATATCATCAGGCAAGAAATTAAGCTAAAGTTACTGTAATTTTTGTATTTTTATTTTTAAGTCTCAAAATAGCCATCCATAGCTCTGATTACGCCTATAAGCCTATATTAAAGAATTTTTGTACTTTCTTAGTCTTTGTGGACTGAAACCTGAAGTTTCAAGGCATCTCGATAGCATGATATTTGTAAGAATGTGGTATAGCTCTGCATTAAGGATGGAACATATAGTACACTATTGCGAAAATCTTAGTTATATAAACATGGATTAATTATGTGGAAGGAATTGCGCATGCCTTGAGTTATTGTACTGGGTCTGGGCTGGGTGGTGGGGATCAATGCACAGTTTAGAAGTTTATTTTTTTTAGTCTCAATTTCCATTTGAGATCCCAATTTAAGTTTTATATAAAATCCCAGTTTGATTAAAAGATACTGTTACTTTCTTTTACATTGGAAGGGTTATCAGTTGGTATCATTGTTCAGTTTCCTTAAAAAATATGAAAAAATTAGCCAACAACATCAAATGTGCTAGTTAAATATACCTACCTCTGGAAGTCAGGAGCATAGAGCACCCATCTGTCAGCACTTTGGAATCTGATTTTCAAAGATCACTTCTCAACACTTTTGCAAACTGAATCGTAATGGTAACTTCAGTTGGACAATTACAAACAGAAGTATTCAGATCATTAGTCAGTTCCGAAAATTATGAGTTGAGGGGCCATGACAAATATAAAAACGATGTGCGTAGGTTCCAGTCCTTTACTTGTATAAACCTGCAACCCGAAATGGTGGCTTCTGTGCCAAGTTCATCATGTGTTCTCAAATAACAGTAATTCACAGTAAAGATGCATGAGGATTTAATAGTAAAAATATGTAGTCACTGCTAGTGAAAAGTCTGATGGACCTGTGGTTGTGGGGGGTCCCCTCAATTCAAGTCAATGCTCAGAAGATAAACAAGTCATTATCCTTTTCCAAGTAAAGAGATAAAAGAGTGTAATGTTTACATAACATTATATAATATCGATGTCTAAGGATATTTTTAATAATCTCCTAAGGACACTGACATGTGAAGAAGCAAAGATATTCTGTGAAGAAAATATTCTACTAAATTATTTACAGTGGATGGATATTTTTAGAATCCTAATTTGAAATGTATCCATTCTCTTTCTTTTGTAGGTGGCTGGTATTAGGTATTGCCATGGTGCGGTTTTATATACAGAAAGGAACACATAGAGGCTTATTCAGAAGCGTTCAAAAGACGCTTAAATTTTTCCAGACATTTGCTTTGCTTGAGGTAAATTTTAAACATTAGTTTGCTTTACTGGACACTGCATATCATAGGCAAAACACATTATTAACCTGAATTTAATACCAAAATATTATATTAGTAAAGTTCTTTTAACTTTATTATTTAATGAAGGTTTTTTGAGGGGGCAAGGTGATTAGTTGAAAAAAAAAAGGCACATTTTTTCAAACTTAATTCTAATATTTCTTTAAATCAAATACTGCCTGGGAACTGCTTTGAGTTGAGAGTCTTTAACTCAAAAGGCAAAATCTCTGAAGGCATTCCAGCCAGCAGATCAACCCTCTAGCATAGTAGATACCTCATCTCCATCTCCGAAGATTATAGCTTCCCTCTTACTCCTTATACTGGACTCATTATCCTTCTGTGCCTTTCCTCTTTCTGCTTATTTCCAGACTGCATTCACATGCCCCATATAATCTGTTACAACAGGGTCTGTGCAAGTTGTGCAAAGTATTCTTTAAATAATATGACTTTTGCCAACTATGCACTAGTGGTCTCAGTTTATGGTACATCTATGGCATGAAACTGTTCAGTGTATTCAGCACTTACAGTTCTTTCCCAGGCACAACAAAGAATGCCTATATACATTTTAACTTTTTTTCTCAATCTGCCTACAACATCTACAACAGTTCAAGCAACTATTAAAATCATGTGGCCAGCTGTGTATAGGCTTTTATGCTATTAAACTTTCACAATAAGTAATTCTACTCAAATCTGTCAAAATAATGAAAAGCACTACATTTGCTAAACATTACTGACCAGAAAATACAATAAATCTGAAGCTTCATAGCTGTCATTGGCAAAATTATAATAAAGTTGTTAATCCATAATGCATACAGAACATTTTAAACTTGCTATGCGTTTAGCATCCCTTATATGACTCTCTCCACACTGTCCTGTAAAATTTTTCTTTGAATAAGATAATGGAAGGGAAGCTTACTAGTTGCAAAAATAAATGCTTTGTAAGTATCTAAACATGTAATATATGCAATTAATTAGGAAAATAAATCTCTTTCATATGTTGGCACAGATCAGATACTGAGCCATCACAGCATTGGTTGCCAGGGCTCTGATGTGTATTTCTTTTAAATACTGTTGGAGACAAAAAACCAGTTCTCCTTCAGAATTAAGCCTAGGTTTATATTAATATCAAAAGGCCATGTTTATAGTGTAGATAGTACCATACTGTACATCAGTAACCTCCAACTTATTTTTATTTACAGGTAGTCCACTGTGCAGTTGGTGAGTTCTTTGTTTTAGTTTCTCCTGTAACTAATTAAAACATGAATTGTGGAACAGAGATAACATGTTTCTCTTTTTAAGGAATAGTTCGCACATCTGTGCTTGTGACTGGGGTCCAAGTGAGTTCAAGAATCTTCATGGTGTGGTTCATTGCACATAGTATAAAACAGGTATGTGCGTGAGCAAGTTGTGTTTTGATTGTTTTTAAGGAGAAGCTATTAATACAGTTCTCATTTCAAAAGGAAGGCCAATTTAAAAATTAATTACATTCCTACAGAGGATACTTACATGCTTGAGTGTGATCTTGGAAGTTGGGGTTATGGGATGGAATTTATGTGCTTCTACCCAGGAGACTGAGTCTAGGTCTTAGCTGTGAATCAGCACTGTCTTCAGCATCGTGCCGGCTGTGGTCTGCCTAAGTGAGATCAATGACTACTGCTATTATTTACGGGCAAATCTACCACAGTGTTACCAGTTCCCTTTCAAAAACTTAAATTAGCACTTACTGAATTAATCTAAATGAAAATATGTCTTAAATTGATTTTACCTAGATAAATATGGTTGTGATTCTGCAATTTATTTTAGGAACCTTCTCAAGATTTTAATGTTATGGTAATATTGACATTTGATGGCATGCATACAGCATTTTTTTCATTAAAAATAATATCAAGTCATCCAGCATGCCACAGTGACACTTAAGGTCCTGTATAAATGACAATAGTTTATTTGCCTGGCTGTAGGTGGTTGTCGAGTGATTTGTTAGAAGAATGAAACAAGCAGACTGCTTACAGCTTGTAGACAGGACATTCAGTTCAGTTTCTGAGCTCTGCTTTCTGTGAAGGGCATGTAAGAATTAAATGATGGATTTTGAGTCTGTGCTCCTGAATTTCTTTAAACATAAAAAGCTGAGCCATTAAACTGTCTCACCAGCAGATGGCATATGCCCTTCTGCTGATGGGGTATCATAGTACCTGCCTCAGTTGTCAAATCCCTTTGTTTCGGTTCACAGAGGAATCGTTTTCTACGCTTCATCTTTTCCTTAACTGTCGCTTTTCTTAGCGTGGAATAGGCTTTTCATAGCTTTTTTTTTTTTCTTGTAAGCTAAGTGTTTTAATTTTTTCCTTAAGGGAAAATGTGTCAAAGATTAACAAGTTTTTTATTTTGAATATTTACATGAATGCTGGAAAATAGCACTGCATGTTGCCATTTTGTTATTATCTGCAGTGGATTAAATCTTTAGCATATCTGGTAATTTCTTTTGTTTCCTCTATCTTCAGTACAGTAGGTCAAGCCGTGTCCAATAAAAAAATACATCTGAATGTATGTCTGATTGTATTTCGCGCTGTTATTGCTTAGCAGGCATGAATGTTCAGGGTGACTTTAGGTACTGAGAGGCATGTTAGTGATAATAGCCAGACCCAGATCTCTACTTGACTGGAGATTTGCAAGGCAACAGATAGGAATTCTCTGCATACTTACTTAAAGCTCTTCTGCTTGGATTTAGCACTGTGACATGAATCCAAGTTTGGGTTATCAATGTTTGTCTCTTGTTGCATGAGGCGAAGAACAGCCTAATTCTGTCTTTACCTTTGCTTTTTTGTTTGGATGTCTTTGCAATTCAGTTGTTGCTATTTGTGAGTTTGGCAGTATTTTTATATCTCCTTTTCTTCTGTGATGTTGGTGAGATCCTTTCACTAAAAGTGCACCTTCTTTGACACATTGAGGGTGCAATTTTATGAGATGACGAGCACTTATAATTCTTCTTGACTTTTGACAGAGCTGTGGATTTTCAGCATCTTTGAGATGTATTAAGCTTTATCACCGTGTTGCATTTTATTTTAAAAAATTGTTTCCTTTTTTTGTAATTTTAACAAAACTTGTGTTACTTTATTTTATTTCACAGACATCCCTGGAGCTTTTCAGCCTTCAGGCATGGAAGTGTATTACAAAATTCCTCCCCTTTTAAAGAAAAGAAAATTACTTGGGTGTAATTCTTCTCAGAAGGTAGTGTTTGTAATAGATCCCCATGTGCCTTCTTTGTATTTGGGGACTTTTGTTTATTTGTTCACTTAGAGTAAAAAAGAACCAATGTTTTGAAACAGCAGAGAGATGTGCTACCTACCGATGAGGCAGTTTAATGACTCAGAACTTAAAACTTAAATGGGATTGAGTGAGTTTACCCAAAGCTCCTGCTCTACCAAACACTCTTAATTTAGTGATCCATCTGTGTTCCAGCTCCTTAACTATCTTACAGCTCCCTGAAGCCTGCCAAATTTGATCTTCTGCAGCCAAGTTCCAGTTAGTAGATTATACTAAGCAATTCCTTTTGACTAAAGTTTCATGAAGACGTGCATTATATGGTGAGGAAGAAGCAAGATAAAAAGTAAGAGGAAGTCTAGGAGACAGAGTAGTGAAAGCAGAATGGGTAAAAACTGTTTATGAAAGGAACATATCTTCTGTAGCGTTGTTTTCTCCTTGCTGTTTTGAGAAGTAAGAAAATAAACAAGTAAATCAACCACGAATAAAAGGAGGGAGACGGTTAGATAGCATAGTGAAATGCAGGTAGAGAATAAAAAGGAGGAATAAGCTTAATTACAGGGGTTTATATTTTTATATTTGCATAATGGATAAAGATTGCTGAGTTTGCAAAATGTCTATGTTAGTAAATACATATGATAAAGAACTGTACACGGTAATGGTTTCAGCATATCACTTTTATGCCAAAATTTTCTTTCTTTACAAGATATTAGTTCTGTTCCGTATATCTTAAACAGAAGTCTATTGCAGTTTGCACAGAAAAGAAGCTTAAAGATGAAGAAAGTTTTGGTTCTTTATACTTCTGCAGATCCAGAATGAGGAGAGCGTTATTCTTTTTCTGGTCGTATGGACTGTGACAGAGATTACTCGATATTCCTTCTACACATTCAACCTGCTCAACCATTTGCCATACTTCATTAAATGGGCCAGGTGGAGATGTCTTGCACTTCAGTTTCTCATGGTTCTGTGCATGTTAGTTTCACGCATGCTGAGCTAACACACAGGAGAGCAGATGTTTGAGCTTTGGTTATGTGTCAGCAGAGTGCAAGTCGGTTGCTTTCTGTACTTGGGATCATTGTTACTTGGTTTAAAATGTTAAAAATATTTTAGCTGAGATTTTGGGGTGTGATTTGTTCTTTGCTTTCTGTCTCTCACGGTTTGAACTCTGCTTTCATTTACTTTAATTTTTTTTCCCTTTATCTTTGGAGTCATCTTTTAACTTACAGTGTGACTCCTTAAGATGCTTTTGAATACAATGTCCAAAATTAAGCACCTGTGCTCATCTTTGTGGATTTCAGGTCTTTGAAAATGTGGGAGTTGTTGTCACTCAATCTGTATGCATATCATTACTTTATGAGAAGTTCTGCTTTATCAGAGCTTTTGTAAGGTTATATCCATGTAGTGAAGCTAAATACTGACTTAGTTTAGTGCACATGAAAAGTGTGTTCCATATCAAAACTGCTTTGATTTTGAAGCATACTTAAGGTTGGCCACTAGGTCACATATATTACAGAGACTGTATGTTTATCAGGAGACTTAACTGGAAGAGTAATAGTCTCTGTAGCCATAATTTGAAAAATAAATGTAAGAGACAGACTTACACTGTTAGAAGGAAAATATCTAACCTACATTCACTGCAGACGACTTATTTAAAACAGTGTGTTTATTTTCCTTTATTTTTGTTTTATAGATAATGCAGTTCTGATGCTTCTAATGCACTTTTTTGATATGTCTGATGTTTATGTCCATTCTTATAATACATTATATTTTTGCTAATACCTAAGGTGGTAGGCTTGGTTATGTTTAAGCACTAAATGGCAAACTTAAAAGTAATCAGGTCTGGTTTCATTAATAATTTTTTATGCAGGCTTCCGAAAGAGAAATGCATTCAGAAAGTACTACATTGACAGATACACTTTTTGCCACCAAGTCAGCGTATCTTGAATAACAGAATTTTTGTTTCCTTATAATAGACAATAGGGAAAACCGAAATTCTCACAGCAGAGACATGGTGAAATATACTATAAACAAAACATTTGAAGATGTATTATCTTTACATAGAGTCAAAAATATCCCATCAAGATTTATGGATAATCAAACAGCACAACTGGGCATAAATTCAGTACCCCAACGGAGCTGGAAATTTCTCATCTTCAGCTTATAATTGTAAAAGATTTGTCTGTCTGTTGTTAATGGAATAGGTATGTTCTAAATTTTAGTTCAGAGTTTTTACTTTGGGGTCCTTTTTTCACTGCATAGAGACAAACTGTGTGTAGGTCATGGCATTGGTTCCTTCTTGTACCTCCCCTAACCTGTTCTCTGACCTGTGAGTCCTCTAAGCCCATTTGTTCCTAGGAAGAAACCCTTCTTGTTTGGTTGCTGCTGTTTTGGATCTCATCTCTTTTTGTCGTGGAGTGCACATTGCCCCTTTCTCTCTGTGCAACGGCTCTCATTGCTGTTCCCTGCATGAACTCAAGAGCTGTTCCTTAGGAAAAATTGCATCTCCAAGGGGCACTATGCGTAAGGACAGCACAAACCCTATTGATGACATTTTTCATTTTATCACCACCTATGTGGCCTACGGCATTCAAACAACATTTTCTTTAAACTGAATGCCTTCACCTTTTATTTGAGCATCTTCTTCCCATTTTAAAATGGATCTGATAAATTTCTGGCACTCTCATTTTCTTTTATTTTTTTATTTCCATTAGTGATAAATGTAATATTATTTGGATTTCCCACGTGGCAGTGGGTAAAACAGGCTTCTGATGTTTCTCAATGTCTTCATTATCTTCAAAGAGATTATAATACATAGAGTTGACCCAGTGTGCGTGCACTGTTACAAAGATATGTAGGATCATCTGAATTTGGGATCCAGTCCTGGTCTGAATCCTGATGGTGACAACAGGAGCAAGACCAGTAAATTTAAAAAAAAGTCATAATTGGAGACTACAAATTTGCAGATTTTATTACTCTTTAGTGTTAGAAAGTCATACAAACTTTCTGATACTTCACTGTTTTTAAATAAAAGGACTGAGGAATGCATTCTCTGTAAACCTAAGCAATGCTATCCAAAGTCACTGAAACTGGTATTCTGTGCCAAGTCAGGATGTGGTCCTCGATTTTGGTGCAGGAACTACTGGAATACATTGCTGTGCCACTAATAATAGCAAGAGGAAATTTTAAATTCATGGGGTGTTTCTCACAAGGGTTTTTTTTTAATGCAGATACAACTTTTTTATCATTTTGTATCCTGCTGGAGTTGCAGGTGAACTGCTAACCATATATGCTGCTTTACCTTATGTGAAGAAAACAGGAATGTTTTCACTGAGACTTCCCAACAAATATAATGTCTCCTTTGACTACTATTACTTCCTTATTATTGTCATGTTCTCCTATGTGCCATGTAAGTATTACTTATCTGTAGTAACGCAAACAACATAATAATCAATTATCAGCAATGCTGGAAACACTGCCTCTAGTTAAATTTGCTGAACACTTTCTACTATAAAAGCCTACTTTCTGTTGTTCCAAGCTTTGCTGTGCTTTAGTTGGTTAGACTGAGATTTTCCATGCTGTTATCTGCCTCAGAACATAAGCTGTCTTAAAAAATTTAAGTGAAAATGCTAAAAACATTTCTAGGACTTGGACAAAGTAAAAAAACTTTTTGCTTATGCATAGAAATGTCTGTAACTGTGTCGCTGAGAATTTCTAGTGCCTCTGCCGCTTTGAAGCAATGGCTTAAAAATTGTCCTGCAAGTTGTGCCAGAGATTTGCCTTGTTTTTATTGCTATTAATATCCATTTACGTGTTGCATCTGAAAGTCACTATTTGAGCATGCTTGGGAAAAACGTAAAGCAATATTTGCTGAGATTTCATTTTCACAGAAATCTAGCCCTCAAACCTTTCTGAACATACTTCAGTCCCTGGTTTAATCAGATCGTCCTTGTACTTCTGGATACCAGAAGGCACAGAACAATTGGCTAACCGGAGCTAAGATTAGAGAGACTACCTGTCTTTCACTTCGAGTGTTATTCCCACTGGTACCTGAGCAGTGTAGACAAGGAGAAAGCAACCTGATTCAGATATAGCACCATGAATGGAGCTAGACCAAACTAGGCAAATAGAGTATTTTAGATAATCTGGACAATGAGGTTAAAAACAAGGCAAGAGATTAGGAATAGGCGTGGAGAAGCAGGAAAATTGGAAGTTAAAAGGGTCTGTGATCTGCATCCATAAAAGGTATTTGTTTAAGAAGTTGACCTTAAACATGGATTTCCACAGTATGCACATTCACTGTGAATTTTTTTTGTCACAAGAAATCATGAAGGCCAATGAGAGAGCTCAATGTGAGTAAAAAATGTCCTAAGCTATCATAACTTACTAACAGTTTTACAATTGTTTATATAACTTAATGCTTCAGGGATAAATCTGATTTTCTATCCATTAAATATAAGGATCAAATGTATCAGCAGGACAGTAATATAATAGATTACAGAGTACCAGGAGAGAGGGAGCTTCTCACTTCAGACTTGAACAAGTAGGGTACATTTGTATCCTCCTCAAAGTCTTAATTCAAACATGCTGACCTTAGCATAGATTTGAAGACTTCAGGCACTGCCAGAAAGTGATTAATTCCTGTTTATACAAAGAAAGTGTTGGAGGGAAGTTCCTTGAACAGGGGGTATACATTCAGGGGGCCTTGTCTGACTTTTGGGCAATTACTTTGCAATTCACTGCAATGTTCATGACTTGCTGTTATTTACCTTAACCAACTGCGGTGTTATGTGCCATAATTTTTCCTCAGTTCATCATTCTGCAAAATTGTATTTTTCTGTTATGTGATCTGTTTAATTTTTTCATCTAATTTGCTTTCTTTTATGCTTTGATCAAGTATTTCCACAACTCTACTTCCACATGCTGCGGCAGAGAAGAAGGGTGCTTCATGGAGAAGTGATTGTAGAAAAGGACGATTGAATCAAGCCGTGTAACTATGGTGCTTTTACTGGAAAAAGAGGGTAAAAAAGCAAAACTTCCTGTGATTTTTCTGAGTCCCAAGTTTTAAAACATGGAACAAGAATAAACAACTGTGCATAAAATAGCATGGACTGTATTATTTTTACAATTAATATATCTTCAGACTTACCTTTTCATCCTTGGTTTGACTTGGATTTTTAATTGTTCATTTCTTCAGACAAATTATTTTCTTATTTTCAGTAGGTTGACAAATAGCTTTAAGAATTGGAGTAGTTGGCTACTGTGCTTTCTGTTCTGAAAGTTCTGTTATGACCTGTAGTCATCATCAAGAACAGAAGGAGAGTTGATAAGTTGTACTAAAAGTGAGTCTTCTGGAAAATAGAGCATAAATTAACTAATGATGTTTTTCATAGACTGGATGGCTTAAATGTTATTTAAGCTTTATATTAAATAATACCTTTCCAGTTATAAGAACTATTAGCATGTTGTTCAACATTCTTTGAATTACAGGATCACACAGTAGAATTCCAGAAAGACTTATGAAAGGAGCTGAATTCTTGATTGTCAGTGCAAATTTAGATCTCTCTGTATTTTCATTTGTAGTTTTAAAGATATATAGAATAATAGATACAATATCAGCTGGTTAAAAATTTGTGCTGAGGAGTAGACTTGATGTGCCTACCTTTCTCTGATCAGTGGCTGGAATAGGACTCGTTTGCAGAGGAAGACTGATTGTCAGTATGTTTCCTATTCTACATTTAATTATGTATGCAGAAAAATTATAGTATTGCATTTAAAAACTGTAGCTATGGTGAGACATTTAACTTCCTATAAATAGCTAAGTGGGATAATATATATTTGAAGTAGCATCTTAAAATACAAATTGTGCTTTGAATCATCCCATTGTGCAATTTTAATTACTCCCTCCCCATTAATTGTTTATACTGTGTTGACCTAATTCTATTTAATGTCTTCAATAATCTGCAAGAGGGATCTACATTATATTAATAAAAGTTACAGATGACATTGCACTATATGATACCTGAGTGGGAGAGGTCCAACGAATTAGATGTAGCCTAAAAGAGTCAGAGAAAAGGTAATGCATTTGAGGAAACTTGGACACTTAGTGGGAGAGAGAGAAGATTGAAATGTAATAATGTAGTAAGAAGCTTGATAATGTAGGCAACAAAGTTGCTTCTGGCATCACTAATGTCAAGAGAAGAGTGTATGTTCAGAAGAGCTGCATCAGGCAGCTGGAAGTCAGAATACTCCCTGTGATTGCTGAGTTAATTTTTGGAGTATGGTCTTATATTTTGGGTACCTCAGGGGTGAGAAATTGAGCCAATCTTCTGAAAAGTCAGAGAACAGTAACAAAATGAGTTGAAGTGAGAAAGAAGTCGGAAAGATTGAGTCATTAAGTATGTATAATTTTTTATGTGACAAATACATTTAAAGAGCCTTTCTAAGTATGAAGGCGTAACTAGAACAGATTACATAAATTTGTAAAAAGGTAAATATCCAATGAATATCAGGAGAAAGATCCTACCAATGAGATCAGTTGGGTTATGGAATGACACAGTAGTGTTTATCAACACATACAATTTCCTGGAAGGTTTTAAGTTAGATGTAATGCAGTAGTGGAAAATAATCTTCCTTTGGCAAGAGTTTGAACGACATACTTGAATAGGCAGTTTCCATTTTTAGCTTCAATGATTCTATGATAATACAGCTTTTTTGAAAATGGTAGATACACCTTTTTCTGGTAACTTGATGAAAAAGCAAGGATTTACTACATCCCTAACTTTCAAATTCCATTTTGTGCCTTAAATTTGTGATAATTATGCATGTCTTCATTACATGTAAATTAGTTTCCTTTTAAATGACAGGTGCATAGTGAACTTGAGATAGAATAGTTGTATTTCTTACAATTTTAAAAGGTATAATCTTCGTATTTTTTAGAGGAAATTTCATGCAAGGTGCTATAATTTAACTTTTTACTTCTCTGTTTTATATGCAGCTAAAATTATTAAAAGTTTAAAATATAAACTACATTTACAACACTGAATCACAAAATAGTTGTTACACATGTTCAGACTAGCAGTTGTATTTGTCCAAAGTTCTTAGAGTACTGTTTTATAAACTTCACTTGCTTTTTGATCCATGAGGAACATCATGGCAGTTTTTAGAAATATTTTTCAGTTAGCAAGCAGGAGAGTGTGATGAAATATGAGTAACTAAGATTAGATTAAGTTCTGTGTCTCTTTTTTTTACTGTCAGGGCAGCTCACTGAAGACCATAGCTATCAATTCATTGAAAATGCATTGGGTACTTTATGGATGTGATTTTGAAATCCTCAATCAGATGAGTGTATCCTACAGATACTATTCCTGTAATAAAAGGAATACCTGCACTATAATACTGTATTATATTTGTTTTCATTGTGCCTTAAGGATATTATCATATGTCAATCAAGGAGTTATTTTTATATCCTTTTGTACATGTGACATGAAAAAAATACAGCACTGTGCTAAAATCTTGGGTTTGCACTTTCATAAAGCAACAGTGTACAAAGTAACGATAAAATTTTAAGTCATTCACAGCTACAGAAGAGTCTTGCTAATTGATAAATGAATAAAAATAAAGCTAAAATTTACTTAGAGTATTGCATTTAATGTTTCACAGGCCAGAGAGACTGCCATGTAGATGAGTTTACATGGCATGTACTTTAAAAAAACCAAGCAACACGTTTTTTTCTTCCAGTTCTTTTTTTTGTATTAAAGCCTTTCACTGAAGCCTCAATGTATACCTTTTGTTTTAATATCTTCTCAAAGATAGTGAGAATTGCAGGTAAAATCCTCTCAGCATTGACTTCTGATGGGCCAGGATTTTATCCTAGGTAGCTTACTTAGACTTCAATATAACATCGTGAAACATTTAATTAGCTTGTTAAATGGACATAAAAGATTAAGTATGATTTTCATATGGTGCTCTCTTTCCAACTTCTTTTTGACACCTGTCTTTTTTGTCTTCCTCTCTGCAATATTCCTAGTTTTCTAAAGCATTGAAATCCTCCTGCTTATGAAAGATTAGGAATGTATTCAAACATCAGCGTCTTTAGTGTTTTGATGTAGTCTCTAACATTGTTCATATAAAGGTATTTTCTTATTTGTGATATATATGCCTTCTGGAATGGATTAATACGGAGTATGACCTTATGAAGCTTTTTTAATGACAATACATAGGAATAGGCATTTGGAAAGAGATTCCTTTTCATCAGGTGACATTTCCTACTATTGGTAGTCACATTAACACACTGTCCTTTTTATAAACTCTGGCTGAAAGCAGTTGGATTTCTTGAGGTTCCCCCCAACACTCACACACTGTTCCCACCGGGAAAGGCTGTTTGGGACAGATTGGGTGAATCGCCTAGTTTCACAGCTCTGCCCAGAATGTCTAGAGGCCAGATCCTGGCCTCAGGGCATGGGCAGTACAAAGGAATATAACGCTGAGAAATTGCATCTTCCACATTAGCTGCCAAGAGGGTCTCTGAGGCCATTGTGAACAGTAGTTGATAGGCATCATTTCTCTCACCTCTCACTGTGGAGGATGTGAGAGGAGAAGCAGCTCAGTGTGCTGTCATACCTTCTGCACAGGGAACTCAGGAGATCAGCTGGGAGCACCTCTGTGCACAAAGGGTGTGTTACAGAAAGGGCTTTTCTGCTCCACTCAGCTATTTTATTGCTATCTAAAAGCCTGTATTTCTTGAAATAGTGGTATGCCAAGATAGCTATGCCACACTGCTCTCAATAGTTTAGTTCAAAATAAACAGCCTTGGAGAAATGATGTGGTGTGCTTCTTCTAATTCCCATTGAAAGTAACATGTAGCCAGGCTCATGTTAATGGACGGATTGCAATGACTACTTAACAGGGAGGTGCGTGGAGGCCTTTTCTGTGACCAGAGGGAACCTACGTTTACTTACCCAGAAAGAAATAGGTGCATTTTAAATCTAGGTCTAGCTACTGCTCTGGCTGTTGTACTGACAGTCTTCACAGTAGCTTAATTTAGTGGATATTTGGGTATTTATATAATTACTAAACTAGAATGAAAACAGATTACAACCATTACAATAAATTATAATTTAAGGTAGTTGCTACATTAACAGGTTTTGTGAAATCAGCTCTTACTTAATCTGCCTTAGGAAAAAAAAAAAGGAAGGAAAGTTAATACAAATAAGTGTTCTGCACTAGGCAGGAGGGCTTCATAAATCAAAATTTTCAGGCAGGCAAACTGGCTGCAGTTGTTTATGAAGGGTTCGTTAAATGTGTCTTTGAACAAAAAGGTTGAAAGCTTTTCTGAAAATTCAATTTTATTTCATAATGTGTATTTTAAATGTGCTCAGAGATACTGTATTATTTATTACCAGTTTACAATTTAAATTCATGCTGAACATATGCTTTTTTGTGGATGATTAACTGTAGCCCATTAAAATGTTTTATTCTGTTTGTTACAATGACTGTTTAAGAAACAAACACCTGATGTTTCTGCAAAGCTCTGTGTTCTCTTGCTCAAGTGAGTTGCAGTATTGTTAGTGCCTACTAAGCTTTGCAGGGCTGTTAAAATGGCAGGTTAATATTTGCCAAGGATAGCTCCTTAAACTTGCTTTCATGACGGCACACCTTAATAGTGAGTGGTACTCTTGGTTCAGTGCCTGGTACTGTGTGCCGCTGATGCCGTTCTAGGGGTCTTGATTGCCTTCAGTAGGACTGAAGACTATAGATGTCAGTAAGTGATTCATCCTTATGAATTACCAGACTAAGAAGACCTGTCTTGTGAACTCTTGGGTCACAAAAGTGAGTAAGTCTGACAAGAGAACTTAAGGCTGTACCAAGATAAACTGTGGAGAACCTGGACGTTGGGTAACTCTAGACCTCTCATAGGAACTTGCTGTCAAGTTCTGACGGGCAACTGGTAGTGGCTTTTGAGTTCCAAAATGTACAATACTTTCTGTGTCGTGTTGTATCAACTGAAACATGTTGTCTTTTTATTCACAGCTCCCTTGCTTCTCTGTTCAGTCTTGAATGTATTTTATGTCCTTTCAGTTGATGGCTTTGTAAAAGTGTAAGTACAGAAATACTTATCTAAGCATATCGTGTATAGAATTGTACTTAAAGATTCTTAATAATGTAACTGCACCACAGCTGCTCATTATTATCATTAGCAGTTTACACAGACAGGAAAATAACACGATATGATACTTTTAATAACTTTATTTATTTGCAAAGATTATAAGTTTTGTTGAGCTATAGATTCAGGTATTTGTTTTGGAGATTGTTAATACTGTAGTATTGTAGAAATTCATCATCAATTAAAAGACATGTTCTAAACTATGTTCTATTTGATTATTTTTTTTTGGTGGCATGTAGAAGTCAGTTCATACAAACGTTCAGCATATTACACCAGACTGGTATGTGTTTACAAATACTGCACTTTTTTATCTGGAACTACTTCACAAATTAATCTTGAGGTCCCCTGTAACATATTTATTATTAGCCAGCCTTCCTTTTTATATTTCTTAAAATATATTCCATTAAAAAAGAAGTAGGTTTGACTAGTAATACTGGTTTATCAAACGAGGGGAAAATACAGGGCATTAAAGAGAATGTATAACATCTGTCAACATGTATGAAGACAATTGCGTTAACAGTGGTCCTGAAATAGGTATTATAATAGTGGATATTTCGGTGTTTGAAACAGGACTTTTTTGTGCTATTAACCT